GGGGGCCTGCGCCTGAAGCGACAGGGGTCGGAGGAGGGGCCTGCGCCTGGGGCGGGGCCAGGCCTGCGCCTGGAGCGGCCGGGGAGGGGGGAGGGACGCAGGTAAGCCTGCACCGGGAGAGACTGGGGCTGGGGGCTCTCCGGGCTGTGGGTCTCGGCCGCGCCCCCAGTCCCGACCCCTGGGCTGGCAGTGGCCTCTCCGAAGCCTTCCGGGAGAGGCAGCCCTCCCCTTGAATGAAGAGCCAGGCTGTCCGGAATCGCGGGTGTCGGATTTTCCAGTGACCCGGTCCCCGTGGGACAGGTGGGAGCCGCCGGGTCTCCTTGGGGCTCATTTCTGCAGCGTTCATGAATTCGTGCAATTAATATTTTTTGGGCGCCTGCGGGGAGCAGGGCTTCTCGTTAAAAATCTGAAGATCAACAAGCCCTAATTTCTTTACGGAGCGGAACAAATTACCCGTTATCTCTTAATTAGGAACGCCTGCCTCGTAACCAACCGCAGCCCGTTAGAGTAATGTTAGGGTTGTGCGTTTGCAACTTTAAAAGATGTCATAAAACCAGACAGGGCAAAAAATAAAAGGCTTTTTAATAGGGAAAAATACCACTATAAGGATGTATTAAATTCCCATTTTCTTTTACAAAATTCTACATCACAGAAATTCAACTTTAGGTAATCGATGTCTAGGAAAACGTTGATGCTTAAGAAGGTGTATTGCAGCATTAATTAGTAAAGCAAGAAATTAGAAACACAGCGTTTAACCAGGCGAAACGGTTAACTAGTGGTATAAACACCACAGCCTTCTGTTCATAGGACGAACGTTATTGAGTGACAGCGATGAATGAAACCGGCATGAGAAATGCTCCAGATGTCGTGAGAGAGGAAAGCGGCAGCTATTCAGTGAGCAGTTACTAACGAAGGGGAGGTACGAATGAGACATGGAATCTGTCTTCTCTCAGGGAGTTTACAATCTTAGGTAAAGCAAGAAAGAATATTGTAATAGTTCAAGCAATGCTTTTTGTTTGAACCAAAAGGGTAGAAATAAGCTATAAACTCATTTCAAGCTTTGCCCACTCCAGAATTCAGTTTTCTGTGCACACGCCGTGTTCATTTTAATCTAATCACCTTTTAAGATATATCCCCTGATATGACTGTCACCCTGCTTAGGAAAGACCACTCCCATTTTGCAAAAGGACATAGGCGTGCCTTGTTATTCCTAATAATGAGAGGGAGGGTTTGCTCTCCTTTTGTGCTGCATTCTGGGAATGGCGAAACAGACACAGGTAAGCTCAGGAACTTGCCCAAGGACAAACTGCATACCTGTGGCAGAGCTTAGAATAATATCCAGACCTAGTTTGCAACCCATTGTTAGACTTTTTTTAACCTTGGATTTTGTTTTGTGTAAAGAGTAGTAAGACTAGGAAAATAAAATAGGTTATAGTGATAGGATAGAGTACATCTTTCCTCAATTAAGATGAATATCTGTTTTTTTAAGGATTATTTGGACTATATACATATTTATTTAGCTGTACAGAAATATGCCAACATGTATATGATGATGGGTTCCCCGAGATGTGCCTTATGATAATTGTAGTTAGGAGATTTGTGGATAGGATGGTATATAGTAAGTTCTCCTAGATACCAGTGGACCACCCAAGTTTTGCCCAACTCTTATAATCATTACCGATCACAGATATTCTCTAAGACTCTTGTTTCTAAAAAGCTCTAGGGAGAAGGGGAAAAAGTAGATTCATAACTAACATCTTTGGTCTTTTATTTGATGAAGCAACCATAAATAAACATTATTTGAAGATATGGAATACAAAGAAATGAAAGAAAACAGGAAAACTCAAAACTCAGTCTATTTAAAAAACAAACAAATCTCTGCCTTTAGGAAGGAGGTTGTATTTTTCCAAAAAAAGGATGGCATTGTGTGAGGAGTCAAGTGGGGCAGGGCTTGGCTGAATGAATGGCACAGTGTCCATACATGTGACAGACATGAAGGGGACATTGTTTGAGTGCTGTTATTCACTGGGAACAGTGTGTCCTGAGGGAGATGGGAGGAAGAGGAAGGCACAGATAACATTCAATTCTGAATACACCATGTCTAGGAGCTGTTTTTTAATTTTGAAGAGTATCGGGAACCAGTGAGGGGTTTTGTTGCGCCAGTTAAGGCGAGGTAGAGATGACTGGGAGTAGAGGGGTGGGGGACTAGGATCAGACTTGCAGCTCGGCTCTGGGGGTGGGGGCTCAGAGCCCACCTGATGACCCAGCCCTGGCTAGATGTGGGACCAAAGCCTTACCCTTCTCTCCTGTGCCACTCTCTCTCCTTATCTGTGTCCCACCATGCTGGAAGGTCAATCGCTGAGATGGAAAACCTGCTTAAAATTTGACATAAGAACAGTCCCAAACATCAGTCATTCAGATACCACCTTCAGGTGGACCTTTACCACATCTGTATGGATTTTTATATATAGATAGGATATTTTTCTTAAAACAAGTTTATTTCTTTCAACTTACAAACTTTATTCACATCTTCATAAAAAAACACAGGTGAGTTTATGGTGCCAGTTACATTTTTTCCCTACCTATTTAAACAAATACATAACAAAATAACATTTGCTCAAGTACTTCCCAAATTGACTCCTACCATTTGTGGCACTCAGACTGCACTTTGGAAAATGTTCTATGGAGTGAGGCCCCACATCTGAATCCTGGCCTGTCGATGTCCCTACAACCAGGACCTGCCTGCCTCTCACTGGACTTCTTATTACACCAAATAATAGTGTCCAGTTCACGCCTTGAAACTAAGGAAGCTTCTGCCTGGAAAGCTTCTCCCTGCCCTGTCCCCCAACATATACTCCCTCTGTTCTGGGTTAAATTGTTTCCCCCTAAAAGTCGTGTGTTGAAGTCCTAACCCCCAGTACCTCAGAATGTGACCTTATTTGGAAATAGGATTATTGCAGATACAGTAGCCCCCTCTCTTATCCATGGTTTCAGTTACCTGTGGTCAATGGTGGTCAGAAAATATTAAGTGGGAAATTTCAGAAATAAACAATTCATAACTTCTAAATTGCACACTGTTCTGAGCAGTGTGAAGACATGTCTCTCCTTGTGAATCAT